AGTTGTTCAGTTTTGTATTATTTTGATATTTGGGGTTTAGTGATAATTTTTTCGCTATTTTTTTGGCTAGGCACTTTCTATATATTGTAAGACCCTGAACAACTTCTCTGATATTTACCCATTGGATGTCAAGAACACTGTACTCTACCAGTATGACAAGCAATACTATATCCAGATAGAGCCAAATATATCTTGGGTGTTCCTAGTTGAGTATCATTGTTCTACATAAATATGAAAAAGAAGAAAGGAAGAAAGAATAAAAGAAAGAAAGGAAGAGAGAAAATGAGAGAAAGAAAAAAGAACAAAAGAAAGACATGAAGAAAGAAAGAGAAAGGAAAGAAGGAAAGAGAAAGGAAGAGAGGTGGAAGAGAAAGGAAGGAAGGTATCAAGGAAGAAAGGAGGAAAGGAAAAATGAAGAGAAAAAAATTTGGGCTATTTCCTTATTGAACAATTCAAATCTATTATACCCAGGTAATAAGTATTGTGCCCCAGGCATTTTGACGGAAGATGGTAATAACGGCCTCTAAAGTTCAGTAACAGGGATATGTGAGAGTAGATGAATCGGAGTAGAACAGAGAAGAAGCCTTAAGTCATATTTGTCAGGTCCCTAAAGGTGAAAATGAAAATGTAGACGTTTATATTAAGTTCCAAACAGCTAAGTCCATAATTTTTATTTAGAAGTTACCTACAAATGATATATACAGTGTTTTAATTTTACAAATTATCAAAGCAAGCTTCTTGTTTGCCTGAGTCCTTTTTTTTATTTATTGAATCATCGTGATCTACTGATCTACTGAATGTAACCTGCCCACATGGCAGAGTCTGGCAAACTCCACGTGGTGTACCCAATATGCCAAATACCAGTAACAATGATGGGTCTCATTCTCTTAACCCTGAAAGAGCCTTGAATATGGCACTTTTTAAAATCTCAGGGCTAGGGCGAAGGAGACATTACTGCTGCCTGCTCGAGGCAATCGAGGAACAACAGGATGATGGTAATCGTAAATTGTAATTGAATCACCATGAGAATAGTCACAAAGCCTTTCAGTTCAAGTCATACAATTATCAAACACTCATCCCTTCACCGCTGCACATTTTTCACCACCAAGAACACCAGTATAACCCTCCTCCCACCCACCCTCTGCCTGTGTGGCAGATTTCCACTTTACTCTCCCTCTCTCTCTCTACATTGATCACATTCAATATTACGACAAAAGACCCAACATTGTTATTTGGAATTTCCCCCAACATTCAGACCTGCCACAAAGACATCATTAGAAAATTTTTTTTCTATTGCTGATTATGAAGAGCATATGATGTCGTGTGGCCACAATAGCAGCCACGCAAATTTGGATTTCTGATATTTTAGTAATAAACCTGGAGGGATTACTGCCAGAAGCCCCTGGGGTTCCGAGATTGGTATGTGTGCCTCTGGGATCATGGTCGGTCAGAAGCTGAAGGAGGAGTTTGAGGGTGGCAACCCGGAGCATTGTCATATTGGGGAGCAGGGCCAATTCCACCCCCATCCCATGAAGCCCCACGCACCTCATCAATGCAGTCTTATACCTGGCTGTTCATTAGGCTCTAAAAGATGCAGGCCACCATGTCGCTGCCACAAAGGCGGACAGGCAGAGGGACAAACACCCTTACCCTCCCAGGGCAGCATATCACCATAATTAAATACACAGTCCAGATGTATTTCGGTTAGGCATTATCTTTTTCTCAGATTTTCCTACCACCAGTCAAGAATAATTTTCAGGGACAAATGCTAGATCATTTACTTTCCATTGATCACTTTGCATATCAGGAAATGTGTGCGGGTGCCAGGACTATTTTACACAGCCGCACGGTTCGGAAAATAGTCCTGGTACCCGCATGTGTGAGTCATGCTTGTATAAGCTCATGGTCACCGGGATTTCATCTGGAGAAGGCGGGGAGACAGTGCTTACCCCATTTGGGAACTCCTGGTGATATCTTCTCTGGATGGGACCCGGAGAATTCTCCGGGAGCTGTGGGGCCCTTCAGCCGTTTTTTTTCTTCGCTGCTGTGTGTTGTAAGATGGCTCTGGGGGCTGGTTGTGGGCGTGACTTTTGGAATCAGAGGTTGCATGGGAGCTGGGGCAGCCCCATTGCAGTTTGGAAAAAAGTCCTGGTACCCGCATGCCAGAGCCATGCTTGTAGAAGCTCATGTTCGCTGGAATTCCATCTGGAGAAGGCGTAACCGAGTCCTTAATTAAAGAACACTTTAGCTTTTGAGTCCTGAGTGAATCCTAAAAAATATTGGATTCGTGTATCTGGTAGTTGGACATTTGGAGAACAAAACCAAGTGGGCTGTGAGCAACCTCAGTGAAAATATCTTTTTCCCCACTTTCATTCAAGAAGGAAGAAAAAAGCAGTATTCAGTGACCTAATCCCTTCAGATACTTTTTGAGACCTCCATTTGCCAGATCTCCCCATTAATATTTATTGGAGTATTTTATTGGAACCAAAGTGGCTGGGACACACCATGTTGCATGTAGAATTCAATCTCCAACAATCTCCAACAAGTAATTCCTGAGTGCATGAGACAGGAGTAACTCCTGTGCATTGCGGAGTGTGACCCACAAAAAAAAAAAAAAAACAGTTTAATATCTCTCATTGAGGATCAAGAGAAGCAAAACGACTTCTCTTGGAAGCCCAGCTTAAGGCAAGGGTACAGGAAAGAATAGGAAGAAACTTGAGAAAAAACAACCCTAAACAATAGGAAGGCAAGCCAAGTAGAAATGGAATTCCAGCATGTTCTGGGAAAGATTTTCCTGTTTTATGTTAGATAAAACCCTGCTAAGGAAAATGGAATGTCTAAAGGACAACTCCGTGAAAGTGAAAAGCCTGCTTTGGCCAGGGCCTTGGGACATGATATAATGCAAGGCAAAGCCATGCTGCAGCATGGAGAACAGGGGTCGGTAACTCAGGAGTGTGATGGAGCAACTTAGTTTTGGAAAGTAAGAAGAATTTCATTTTTCATTTTTTTGGAATGTTCCTGAATACCAGGAACTTACCGTGGGATTCCCAGAAATATAAAAACAGAAAAAGCTCAAACATAATAGCTTGTAACTATCTCACAGTGATTAAATAAAAAATTTTAAAAATTAAAAAAAAAAAACAGAAAAAGCTGAGTAGTGAGACTATGACAGATACGCTGACGTACAAAGTCTCCCTGAAAACTCTAGGATTTCGATAGGGAGAGCAGAGGGTAAATAAAGCACAGGTACCTTTAGTCACTTGATCATTTTTCTTGGTGGAGCACAATGACTATCAGTACTATTAGTTAACTGATGTTCCTTTGCCTTATAACTTAAAATGGCTTTTCTCACATTTCTGCAGCTTATATTTGAATAGCCTGTGAAATGTACTACCTGCTAGTCACATGCCTCAGGGTTATTTTTCTGTTGGGGGTGGGTGGAATGATTTTATTCTCCAGGGAGAAGGTTGCTATTTCCGTAAATCTCAAACATTACATGCATCAGAGAATTCAAGGAAAAAGCTTTTATTCTCTTGAGAGAAATACAAATAGCTCCACTTTCTTCTACCTCTTGTTTAAAGTCACCCTGTAAAGTGCTATCACAAACAGGCTCCAAGGATGAATTGTTTAGTGCCATGGTGTTTATTTGTGTGCAAATAGATGCACACATATTGCATTTACGCTTTAGAGGTAGTTGTATTAGTATTTTATTCTCTAAGAGAACTTCAGAAGGCTGAGAACTGACTTCATTCAATGAAAAACAATAAAAACTAATGAGTAGGAAACCCATATAGCAAGAAAAATAAATAATAGTTATAAAAGATTTCATTTTAATTCCAGGGGTAAACAAATAATAGTTATAAAAATTTCAGAAAATTTAACTTAAAAACTAAAAATCAGCTTTTTGGTAATAAAATGTAGATTTCCTACTCATTTTTTTTTTATATAACTAGATGGTTGTTTTCAAAATTTCTGTTATAAAGGTGTAGCCCCACTTACATTTTCCCCCTATTTTGTATATTAAATGGTATACTTCACCTTAGCAGAGGAGTAGCTCCAATGACCTTCTTACTCACAGTGGTATCTTCTCAACACTTGCATAGGACCTTGCACCATGTACCCTGGTACAAGGGAATTAGGTTCTCAAATCCCATCTCCACATCAGATACCTTTCATTAAGTCCATTTTCTATGTGAGCCTCTTGGTTTCCCCAACATATTTTCTACAGAGTCTTCCTTTTGAAAGTCCTAAGCTGGAAGTTAGGGTTCCCTAAAAACACTTTTGAAGTGGACAAGGGTAGGAATGTGCTTTTGAGAGTTTGATAGCTCTACATGACTCCAAATATGATCAGGCATTTTCAAAATGCCTGATTTTGTGCTCTATGTTTGCCGTATTCAGAATCAAACCTCACACGGCTGCAGAAATTATACTTTTAATTCCAGCCATTGTCTTGGTCTTCTTTATGCATCTCCAGCCCCTGCAGAGAATTTGGTGCTGCAATTTCACTAAATAGTTCTTGAATCGATAGAGGATAATTCTGCTGCTTCAAAGAGACAGACATTTTCAAAGGAAAAATACACTGGGTTTAGTGACTGCTTTTGTCAACTTTGTTCACATTCCAAAGCAAACTGATCCGTTATTTGGCTAGAAAAAAGAATTGAAAAAAAATTGAAATTCAAAGGTAACAGCTATAAGGTTACTGCATAGCTAATTAGGCAACAATATTTGTCCCTGTATTGATGAACAGAGTGAATCCAGCTGGTGTCTAGAATTCAGCTTGGAGTGTCATTAAAACAAAAGTAAGTTAACTTATTTTTTTCTGAGAATCATTAGGGTTTTAGTTGTCACAGGGTTTGGTTTACACATAAAATTACAGCTATATGAAGCCCAAAACAAAATAAAACAAACAATTCAAAGCTGAAAAGATTGCTACATGATTGGGTATATGGTCTGGATTTTGATCAAATTCTTAAAGTCCTTAAATTATTGAATTATTGTGCTTGCTTCGGCAGCAAATATACTAAAATTGGGATGATACAGAGAATATCAGCATGGCCCCTGCAAAAGAATGACAAGTAAATTATTAAAATCCTGCCATTTTTTCTTCTTTAGCAGAGAATTATAATGTCACAAGATCTCTACAAGTTAGATAATCTCAATATTGTAAAACTTTTATTCTTTTGCAAAGACAAAGTCGTAATTGCCTAAATTGTTACAGATGTGTTGCTATCTATTATCTGTCTATCTAGAATTCGTAGCCTGGAATCCCTATCATTATTATGGTCATTAAAATAAACAAAAGCTCCAAATCAGTTCTTATAGGAGTCAATGATCTAACATTCTTTCCATCTTCCTCAAATGAAGGAAATAAATAACACTGAAGATCTACCTCTTTGGTGGTCTGAATTAGTGTCATTTATTTCAGATGAAAAATAATGCAGCATCAAGAGAACAATAATCTTTGTCTACCAGAATTGTTGGATAAATACTCTGATTGGTGACTACATTTATCAGCAGATAGTAGAAAGATCCTTACAAATAATTGGTAGCTTTCATCTCAGGATGTGAAGAATATATTGCTCAGCATATGTTTTGTGAATTCAATTTGTAATATGTGTTCAAGTGCAAATTTTGAAGTGGGTATTGTACTTTCAAGTAAGCTAGGACATATCTTAAACCAATGAACTTCTTGTAGAGGTAACTTGGATAGGAGTCAACCTAGGCGAATCCCTCTGCTTGGCAAGCAAGCTTAGCTACAGATCTAAGTCTGGAAATTCTCAATTCTGTTGAAAGCTATACCCAATGTCAGGCCAGTGGTGGAACTTAGGCAATATAGTTGATTGCATTGCGTCAGTTTCCCTTGGGATATGAGGAAACTGATTTGGAAAGTTTCAAATGGTAATGAATATGATTTAAATAATCCATCTCATCATTTTCAATTTTTAAAACTTTAGGTGGGAGTACACCTATCAGTTCTCAGGTGCTGCTCCTGGTTCGTGCTCAGAGGTCACTCCTGTTGATGCTAAGGGTACCATATGCAGTGCCAGGTATCAAACTGGTTTTGGTCAAATGCAAGGAAAATGCCTTAATCCGTGTACCATCTCTCCAGTCCCTAACCATTTTACAAGTAGAGCTAACACTTCCTGTAGTTTATGGTTGATGCATATATTTGTAACATATTTTTTTAATGAATTGAATTTATAGCCAAGAAAAGTAGTAGTAAAGAATGTGCAAAAGAATAATGTTTATTTTGTGTCCAAATATATTTACTTATTAAATATTAAAGTTAACTCTGGATTATCTCAAATCTGTGGTATGTATTATGAATTTTCAGGAAGCAATAGCAAAGCAGTTCCCCAGGTTTTCTGTCTTTGTTTTGTTTTTAATGTAAAATTTTTTGTTTTCAAAGTTCTGATTAGCTTTTTTTTTTTCCTTTTTGGGTCATACCCAGCAATGCACAGGGGATACTCCTACCTCTGCACTTAGGAATTACCCCTGGCGGTGCTCAGGAGACCATATAGAATGCTGGGAATCCAACCCGGGTCGGCCCTGTGCAAGGCCCTACCCGCTGAGCTATCACTCTGACTAGCTTTTTATCATAGCACTTAGATTAATGCATTTAAAAATTAGTATGTGAAGTCCAGAGAGCTGGAATATCAGTTAAGGTGCTTACTTTGCATTACAGCAGACCCCAACTTGGTATGGCAACCGATACAGTACCTTGAATACTACCAGGATTGATTTGTGATTACAGAGCCAGAAATAATCCATGAGCACCTCTGCATGTGACCCAACTCTCCTCTCTACCTCCCAAAACTCCAAGAAATCAATGGAATACAAAATGAAAATAGAAAATATATCAATTTTGTTGTCTATTCTTAGAAGTTGTGTGTATTTTTGCATGTTTATGTTGTGTTGATTTTCTTTGACAATAAAGTATACAAAATTCTCTATTTGAATGTACATAACATTTATAATTTATTATTATGATGACTGAAATTGCAAACTCTTCTGTCAAATTCAAATTTACATAAATTATGAACCTTAATCTGTCACATAGTTGTAAAACTAAATTATGCCATACTGAATATTATGTGAACAAATTTGGTTGGGGAATTAGTGCACATCTATGTTCAAAACACTAGGGTTTGATAATTGTTAAACAAATATTACCGAGTCTCATATGCCTCCCTAGTTTTTAATATTTTAATCACTCCAAAGTTCTTTGTAATAAGACCACAAATTTATTTTATGAATCTGAAACAATATTTGAACCAAAGTATTTCCTACTTAATAATAATGTTCAAATTGTAAAGTAAAGGAAACCTAGAGCATTTTGAATGGGTCAATATTTTTCATACCTTTTGTTTTACAAAATATTATAAAGAACCATTAAAATGAAAATATAGTTTCCAACTTTTTTAGTAAGTTAGATTATATACTGTTGTTTGATATGATCTTGGGAAAGAAAATAAGAAGGTAAAAGTTGGTATTGCAATGACCATGTGTGAGGATTCTTTGTAAGTCAAATTGGTATGCTAGTTAGTGACTGATATCAATGACAGAAAATGAGAAAATTTGTGTTACTTACAAGGGAAAGAATTAGAAGATTTTTTTTCAAACTTCATCATTGTCCCTTAATTTTCCAGGAAAGTAATCACAGGATAATTTAGGAATATTTACATAAAAATTTAAAGAACAGCATTATATTGCAATATCCTTTTGAAACATCAACATGCTTAAAAACCTGCAATTTCCTTAATCAGGGAAGATTTCTTTTTCATTCTCTTATTTGAGAGAAGCACTTGTATGCAGAAGTTTAACTCTTGATGGACCAGACACTTGACAGAGCCTGGGATTAGGAGACATCTGCTTCTAATTCCCTACTGGCACTGTCTGCATTAGTGTTATTTGCCTCTCCATTCAGGAGATAGAATGCTTAGTTTTCTTCTAGCTAAAAATTACCAACTTAGAGTGTATTCAGCTCTCTGGTGCTCTTTAGAAGGGAGAGATGTCTACCATGATGCCATGGTAGAGACAGTCAAATTCTGATTTAAGAGGGCTCTATCTTTTACTCATTTTGTCATCTGTATACATTATACATATATTTTTGGCTCTTCTCTATTAAAGAGTTACATACTCACCATTATCTTTAAACTCACTAGAAACAAAAACTCTCAAGTTAGATTTCTGATTATTTGTTAATTTGAAATAATGAATAAACTGTTGGGGCTGGAGCAATAGCACAGCGGTAGGGCGTTTGCCTTGCACACAGCCAACATGGCCGACCCGAGTTCGATTCCTCCGCCCCTCTCGGAGAGCCCGGCAAGCTACCGAGAGTATCTCACTGCACGGCAAAGCCTGGCAAGCTACCCGTGATGTATTCGATATGCCAAACACAGTAACAACAAAGTCTCACAATGGAGACATTACCGGGCCCGCTAGAGAAAATCAATGAACAATGATAGGACAGTGACAGTGACAGTGAATAAACTGTTAAATAAATAATGAATAAATAATGAATGAACAATAAAATATGAATAAAATAAAGATCAAATGGGCTGGAGTGATAACACAGCGGTAGGGCATTTGCCTTGGACGCAGCCAACATGGCCGACCCGAGTTCGATTCCTCTGCCCCTCTCGGAGAGCCCGGCAAGCTACCAAGAGTATCTCGCCCCCACGGCAGAGCCTGGCAAACTACACATGATGTATTTAATGTGCCAAACACAGTAACAACAAAGTCTCCAATGAAGACGGTACTTGGCCCCGCTCGAGCAAATTGAGGAACAATGGGAAGACAGGGATATGATATGATAAAGATCAAACAAGACCTTTAAGAAGGATAGTTGGGGGGGACAAAGTGATAGTACAGTGGGTAGGGTGTTTATCTTGCACATGGTCAAGAGGGTTTGATTCCCAGCACTCCCTATGGTCCACGAGCACCACCAGGAACAATTCTTGAGTGTAGAACCAGCAGTAACCCCTGAGCATCATCATAAATGCCCCGCTCCCGACCAAGTGGTATTGTATGTATGTTAAACAATGTCCTTATAATCTTTGTACAATTGAACCTTGAAATGTTTCCTCTTTTAATTGCTTTACAAAAGCATCCCTATTATACACTAACACTAGAAAGAGTCTAAACCCTGTTAATCCTATACAGTCGTTAATTAACATTTTCAAAATCCTATATGTCACCCTCATGTACACAGACATAATATGTGATTAATATGATAGGAAGTAGTTTTTCTAAAATATTGTCATAGCAAAAGTTTTATAAAAAGGCATGTATTATTGAATATTTGAGGGACCACATGCAAGTTTGATTTGTGGAAGAGGAAAGATTGAATGGCTTAATACAAATAAGAAAAATTACGAAAAAAATTGTCTTACGTGTTCACTGAAAGAACACTTTGCCTAGATTTTTTTTTAAATTGAATTTTTGCCAATCTTAAATGTGTTACTCCTGCGCTAAATACTGTTATTGTTCATGAAAAAAGGATGATCCCTAAGCCCATTTTAGTAGAGGACTCTAGCATCCAAACCTGATGAACAGACCTTTAAAAAAAAGAGAAATACCTGGCAGCTCTTCTTTTCCTTTTGAGCAACAGAATTTTCTCCTAGCTATATGGTTCTAATCTATACATGTCCATGATGAAGAATAGAATTCAGAAACGTGTGCCAGAGATACTGTGTGTTCCTGGAAACATTTTCTATGATGAAAATTTAGAGGCCTATAAAAAGAAGAAACAAAGAGCTGGTAGTGCATTTTATCACTTCTAGCCAAAGAGTAGACTTGAAACCTTCTCTGTAATGTATTTACAGAGACACTCACATAAAACACACACAAACATATCATCCCACACTACACACAAAACTCAGTTCTCTGTTTGTTTAGTGGATGTCTACCTGTGCATATCTCTGTTATGGGATTTAAAATGTTATGGCCTAGTAAAGCAGTATAGAAAACTTTTCAGGAAGAGCATGTTCCACCAACTCCTCAGCCTATCCTTGTCCTCAATCTTATGCTCACGAGCTGAGGAGCTTTCCCTTTTTCCTTTGCTAGGAATGCTGTTTTTCTACATCAACACAACTGTTGCC